TCCGCATCGTCGATAACATGGGTGTGCAGGCGATATGGTGTCTCGGCTTCGTCGGGAATTTCCTTCAGTCGAACGAGAATGTAACGAGATGCGCGGCTCAGGATGCAGATGATCTCGCCAGTCGGTATCGGAACTTCGCCATCGTCGGCTGTGTAGACGAGTTGCCCGTTGTCACGTCGCCGGAGCGTTCGGAACTCAGAAGACGGCGCCTGAGCCATGGCGCTGGAGTTGGAGAGCGACAGGGGGTCGATTCGCTGTGGCGGCGGGAGACAAGGGGTGAATGCAGGCACAGGGTATCTTCAGTTGACGAGGAGATAGATGCACACGTGCGGCGACGTCTGCAGATGTATAAGGAGCACGCCGCACAGTCGGTCGAGGATGTGATGCGAGCTGACCAATTGATGTGAGCTTCGGTGTGAGTCAAACACGTGCTTTTTGGGCGATATGGGACCTGGATGCGAGGTGGTCAGCATCCGTCCGTTGCGAGCGATTGCGTTATTTCCAGGCAGCGGGCCTGTGTAACGGGATGCGGATGATGCAGTGGTTGCTGTCGGATGAGGCGGGGTTCACTGAAGCAGTGCTGACTTTCCCCGCCTGCCGCTGATCAATGGGCGATCGTCGCTGGAAGGCGCTATCAGGGGCGTACCTGCCCATCCAGGGAAGGCGCAACACCAACAGGCACCGATTCAGATAAACATCAAGTCTCATCAAGCATAGCCTTCGGCTACTTCAACAAGTAACTGGCTATCACATACATTACACTTAACCCATAGGCTCACTTGCCGGCAGCCCTCGTCATGGGCCCCCAGTTCTCCGTCGGGTTGAACTGATACCGCACCAGCTTCCTCTGCCCCTTCTCGCGGCCCAGCCTCGCCAGCGCATCATCAAACACGAGCGTCTTGCGCAGCTCGGCTTCCGAAGACAGCTCTGTCGCACCCTCCTGTGCTTCAACGTCCTTCATCTCAACCTCCTGGGCCTCTGGCTGCTTCTCCTCCGTCTCCTTTGCCTCCTCCGCCGTGCTCTCTGTCGTCCCCTCCGTCTTGCTCTCCTCCGCCTTGGCAACATCAAGCCCCAGCAGCTTGTACGCCGGCGAGCCCGGCTTGATCCTGTCCAGTCGCACCGGCGCCTTTTGGCGCACATACTCTCGCATGATGAACCAAATAGTGTCAAATGGCGCGTCAGTCTTGATACTGCCCGCCTTGCAATGGCTGCGCGTCGCGCGGTATCCCAGGTGGGCGAGCGCGCCCCTGAACAGTGCCTCCGGAATCGATTGCGAGTTGAGCGTGCCCGCCAGGACCGACGGCACCACAAAGAACGGGTAGTGGTCAATCTTCGCCATCTCAATGTCCTTGGGGTCCAAGTCACCCTGCGGCTCCGGTCCTGGAAGCAGCTCCTCCAGCGCCGTCGTCAGCATGCCCTCGATGCGAGGCAGCGTACCGTACACGGCCTTGTCCGCCGTCGGCAGCAGGTCGAGCATGCGCTGCACAAACTCTGCGTTGTGCAGCGGCCCGCCGTACATGGGGCCTGCGATGTGCATCTTGGAGTCACAGTGACGACACTGCTGGTCTGTCGGCGGGCCCAGCCCGAGACCGTGCTTGAAAAAGTGTCCGGTGCCCTTCTTCTTGGACGCAACCTTTGTCCGCACCAGCGTCTGCGTCTCCCAGGATGAACAGCCAGAGCACTGATACATGAGCATCGTCTTGCCGCCGAGGAAACTAATGGCGGACGGGTTGTGCCGCACCCGCACCCAGAGACGGCAGTAAAAGTCAATGGAAAGTGACAGCACCGGCTCAATGTGAAGACCATGACGTGCTGCTGCCGTCGCGATCGACTGCAGGACCAAGCGCAGTCCAACCTCGTGCGTGTGAGATCCACGAATAGGTACGCCGCCGTACAGCGAGAAGCTCTTCTCGGCATAGCAGTGGCCTGCCCAGTGGCTGGCATCGGTGCATGTCACGCACAGCAGGCCGCCGTCGTCGCGCACCGACTGCACCGCCGCATCGAGGAATGGAGATGCCGTGCCGTATGGGTCTAGGTCGATGACGTTGTACTTGTTCTTCTTGCCCGGCTTGCCGCGCGAGTCGCGGTCCGAGAGGTCGTCGGCGATGCGTCGGTACATGTGCGCAATGGCATCGTCGTGCGTGACCTGGATCTTGTCCTCAAGGCCGTTGTGCTTGGCGTTGAGCTTGATGGACTCGGTGGCCGACTTTGTGAGATCGTTGGCCGTGACCGAGGTGACGAACGGCAGCTCGTGCGAGTATCGCAGCGCCCGCAGGCCAGAGGCCGACAGGGCGTCGAGGATGGTGAACTTGGGCGGTGTGTCAGGCTGGCCAGCCTCTTCCTTGGTATCCTTGGTCTCCGGCTCCTTGGTCGCCTCGGTCGCTTCCTGGCCCTCGGCGGCTGGTGCTTGGGCAGATTCTGCGGCCTGCACCGCCCCATCCTCTCCCTCAGAAAGCTGAACCTTTGCAGGCCTCTCAGCCGTCTCATCTCCCTGTGGGCGTCTTCGCTTCTTGTCTTTTCGCTTGCCTCCCGGGTTCGCCTTGCGCTGCTCCAGCGACTCCTTGCGCTTCTCCAACCACTCCTCGCCGTGTGCCCGAATCGCCAGAACTGAGAGATCCCGGTTGAACTGCTGAATCGGGTTGTAAAAGACCTGCTGGACTGCGCCGCTCTTGCCCTTGTCCGAGCTGACGGCGGATGCGGGCACGAGGATAGTGGCCTTTCCCTCGCGAACTCCCTTGTAGTCCTTGCCATCATATGTGAAGATCTCATTCTCCGCGCCCGAGGCAGCCGTCTCCTCTCCTCCGTTGGATGCCATGGTGATGGCGCGTCTGCAAAAAGGCGCTGCCGGAATGGGTGATGCCGACCAGTGAGTCAAGCCGTTGAAGTGTGATGAGACGCGTCGAGTCGAGCAGCCTGCCGAGTGAAGTAGTGTCCTCAGAGTCTGCGAGGCAAACATTCGCCTCTGTAGCGTGTAGCGAGCGGGATGAAAATATGCAGATGCGGCGAGCGTGTTTGCGACTGCAGATGGAGTGAGACGAGGCGCCGGCATATTGGCGCGAAATTTTACGGTTGTCATGAGTGAAGCCGTCGAGAAATTTTAGCGGGGCGGTAATTCTGCCGTGTTGGAGGTCAAAGCGGTGAGTTGACTTGGTGCTGACCTCTGGCCATCGGAGCACGGGATTCTGGCAAGCATCGCCATCACCACCTCGCACTGACATTTTGAGCTTGAGGAAATATGCCTCTCTCTCTCTTCAACATGACAGGTTACTAGAGAAGGACGCCGCTTCGCATTGCTTTTTCTGACATGATGGCCAATCTTGCAAGCAACAAGTTCATGACGTCTACTTCCCCGGTCGAAACCAAACATCCAATTAAAACAAGGTGACCTTCAATCGGAGACGAAAGCCAGCCTAGATCTTCCGCAGTGCTCCTGCTGACCCAAGTGGCCCATGGGGCGAAGATCAGGAGATGGCACCTTCCGCAAAGTGTCATCCTCAGGGCCTCCTTCCTAGACTGTCTCCCTTGAATCGCGGACGGTGCAGGAACCATGATGCTGCTTCTGGAAGACGAAGCCCGGTCCTCGAGATCTTGAGCTTCGACGTTCCATTTCTCTCCGTCTTCATCACCAGCGATCACCATCACTCGTTGTCCTCTTTTTGGGTACCGTCCATTCTTGGTCCCGACATTCGCTGATACTGTCCTCCATCCCTCCAATGGATCCCACACGTCCATCCCTCGGCCAGGGCACCACATCCATTCGCTTCGATGACTTCAAGTCAAAGGGTCAGCCTACGCCGAGCCAGCCTCAGCAGCCCGGCGATCCAACAGAGAAACCTCCCACTTCTGAGAAGCCAACTCGGAAGCCCACCAGGTCCTCGCGTCCCGTTCGTTACCGCTTCCTCACTCCCACGGAATGGGCCGTCTTCGCTCGTGGCGTAGGCGGGCTTGACCTTTCGGATCTAGAGTGCCAGGCCCCCGTCACCCCGTCGTCTTCGATGTTCTTTCCAACCCGAGGCATGCCAGAGGGCCTCTACAAGGATGTTGTTGCGCACCGCAACAAGTTCTTCCTCTATTTCCACCTCATCTCCGTCCTCCGATGGGTCGGCATGCTCCTCCAGCTCTTTATCAGTGCTGCCCTCACTGGTATTGGATCAATGGACTTTAACAACGGCATGGCCATCAGTGAGTCGCCCTATCCCATTTTCGGTGCCTCGGCGTTGAACCATGTCTCAATGCTCGAATACCTGAAGATGCCCTTGACCGACCGCTGACACATTGCAGCTGTGATGGCCGCATCCAACACCATCATCGCTGGAGTTCTGGCCATGCTTCACAACAGCGGCCTCCCGGATCGCTACCGCTACAACCAATCCGAGTTTGACGAAGTCGAGGACTATCTCAAGATGCTGCTTCGCACCGGTGTCGTCGAAGACTCCATGACCGTCGACCAGGTCCTCATCGAATGTTTCAACGCCTATCACGACGCTCGCAGCACCACCTCCCGGAACGATCCCGCTTTTTACCTTCGGGGCCATCGCGGCAGTGACTCCAAGTTCCCCGGAGGCGCGGGAGACATGCCTGGGTCGCCGGGGTCGCCTGTTCCGACCATTCCGGCTCCTCCGCTGCCGACGCCGACGCCCGTCCAGACCAACGCGAATGACGAGCGGGCACCTGGCAGGCCTTCCAAGTAATGGAACGGGAAGACATACCATTGTTTTATAAGGATGAGATGCTTAGAACTGTCGGGTCATGTCTATCTCTGTTTTGAGGCTGGGTCATCGGACGCCCACATGCATTCTTCAGCCACACGGGGCTTGTGAGTATTTAAGAAACAAGCCACCCTAATACGTAATGCTTCTGCATTCAATAGAGCATGTTTGAAGCGCTTCATTATGACCCCTTGAGGTGCAATCATCCTCCATGTTCAGAAGTCATCCCTTCCGATGTCTCGGCTGGATGTAGCGGTCATAGTTTGGAAATAGTTTCGAAATGTCATGACAGCCCGGATGGTCTAGTGGTAGGATTCCTGCTTTGGGAGGCACTTGCTCCACCTAACTGCAGGAGGTCCCGCGTTCAAACCGCGGTTCGGGCCTTACGTTTTGCCTTTTGGATGTTCACTTGGCGTGATGGAGGCTGGGTATTGTCTAGAACATTATTTTTGGCCTTCTGGCCCCCTGTCGTGGTTATAGAAGAGCTCAATTAGCCGTTGGGAATGTGGTTTGCAGCGAATCGTCACGATGTGGAGAGTGTAACCCCAAGCCTGACTACACGCGGCTTGGAACGAAGAAGAGGAGGCTCGTCCTGGATTATCCTGTGCTGAGAATCTGTTGCAAATACGGCTTGAGATTGTTGCCAATAGTCAAGGTCATGGCCGGGTAGGATTGCAGCAAAGAAAGCCACACATCTCGGTGACCTCCACGCCAAGAGGACAGACCACGAACAGTCACCGGGATGTCGGCTAGGACAGCTGCTGGAGCGGCCCGACTTCCCCAGACTTTGCCACCACCCTCCACAGAGTCCCAAGAGGGGGTTGTTCACACGGCAGAGCCGATCATCAATGATCACAGCCAGTAGGCGCGTGCCGAGGAAATCTGGGGTCGGTCTAGATTCTTGTCGGTGGCGCGGGAGAGTTGCCGTCGTGGGATCTTGTGGTGCCTCGGTACGGTGAAGGAAAGGAAGGAGCTCTGACCGAAATGCAGCATGCTCCGGATGCTACGATGCTGCTGCGGGGAAGCACCCCTTTGCAGCCGGGACGCGGAAATGGGATGCGTGAGAGCGGGGGAGACGGCAGGGAGTCGGGTTGCTTGGCCCTTGGAATGAACTGCAGGGCCGTTGGCGGTTCGTCGGCTAGATGTCAGTTGAAAGCGTATTTTAGCCGCTGATGTTGGGCCTGTTGGAGCTTGGAGCTTCAGGGGCGACATCCGTCGATTGAAGGAAAGCGGGTCGTCTGGCTGGTCTAGATATTGTCAAGCTTGGAAAAGCTCCCATGTATTAGTGCCCGTGATGACTGTACATGTGCCTGAAAGTGAGTAAGAGGAGATGAGAGCTCGAGACGGGCCACTGCGGCATCTATTTCCAGATGGAGGAGCTCCGTCGGTTGCAACCCCAATCGCTGCACGATGTTCCGGCCGGTGACCAGGGGTTTGGCGCGGGTTAGATTTCCCGGTGAACGGGGGGCTTCGCAATCTCTGTTCCCCCCGCATGCTCGCTCGGTGAAGTTGACAGATGGACACCGAGGGGAGGGGGTCCGTTATTGATGATGGCCAAGGCCTAGGGGGGAGGTGTGCGGGCATCAGGTGGGATCGCATCTCGACTGGGAGCGGATAAGCAGGGGGCTTGCTTACCCCTTGTCAATTCTCCAAGGGGGCAATCTGTCCTCCCTTTCTGAATAGCCGAGAAAAAGGACGACAGCCCCTGATCGGAAACCTACGTGTGCCCAAACGAGGGAGTGTAATGCGGGAGAAGACATGGTTGGGAGATGCACAGGGAGTGAGTGATGGCACCATGGCCCAGGAACCTCGCGCCAGACGGCGTGGCGCCGCCCACAGCGGGGGGCCAGCCAGGTCACCATCGTACCTGCCTGAACGTGCGAAACTCACCTGGGACCTGTTGTGACGATGCAGTCAACCAGGGCAGGCGCAGTCCACTCACTGTCCGCATTAGGCGATGTGAGTGTTCCTTCCCTGCCCGGCTGGTACCTGCGGTAGGTACCGTACCTGCTCCGGTACAAGCACGAATATGTACACACCTGGCGACGAAGCTTGGCAGGCGCGGGCCGGACTGTCCAACGAGGAAGGCGCATCCAACAACTCGGGGCTTCTATCGGTCTATCGGCTGGCTTCGAACCAGACTCAATGGCCTCGGCCCCTTGGCTGGCATTTCAAACGATCCACGCCCGCATCATCTGTCTGTCTTTCGGGATCGCTGCCACGGGCCCACGGTGCCACCCGTCGGACGCTCTCCACAGATAAGGAAGGAAGGGGGCAAAAGGGGGGAAACCTGGGGTCGAAACCAACCCTCATCTGCTCCTCATTGACGGAAAATCAACCGTCCCTGGTAAGACTGGACACTTCTCGGCCCCCAGACCGAGCGCGCTTCAAACTACTGACATACCCCGGCGGCCCCCGTCAATCGCCCGCCCGCTATGCCCCTCGGCAACGCCGTGTCAGCCGTCGCAAGAATAGGGGCCGATGTACGAGGCGGAGCGATCAACTTACCTCCCCGATGAAGCGAAGCGCTCAACTTGCTGAAGACCCTCCTTGCCCTCCATGCGTTGGTTGGGTCGTACCCAACGCACTTGCGGCCGAACTTTCGAGATGCTCCCGTCAACAGCACACCCCGTCCGTCCCGCCTCTCCGGTTCGTCCACAGACATTGTCCACCCCCTCGGTTCATCAAACCACGAAGTTGTACCCTTGGCTCGTCCCACGCAAGGGTTTCCGACATTCATGAGAGCCGGGGTCACTGCCTCTGGAGTCGAACGCCTCCCCCACCCCCGAGATGAGGCCCAGACTTCTGCGCTTCGTCCACGTGCGCCAGGTTGAGCTCGCCACAGGCAGGGGAGGGGTGAGCGGCGGGAGCCTGCCGTTGTTCCCTATGACCATCGGTCAGTGAACGCTGGGTTATCTGCAAGATCGTCGGTCCAGTATCCCAGACCGAGCATCTCAAACGACCAGGGGATGGGGAGGATTGGACCTGCGTCTGTCTATCAGCCAGCCATGGATCATGATATGCCCGGATCAACACCAAAGCCATCCTCGGAACGACGTCCTCCAGAGTCCCACGCCTGCTAGCTACATCATGCACATCATGCGGGCCGGCCGTAGATACGGATCCGGTGAGGGCTACGGTGAACAACCCTACCCTATCTCCAGAGTTACGCCCCATCACCGCCAGCAAGCCACTTGCGGGGTTCGCATGCTCTCGGTATGGACGCCCCCGGCAAGCCAGCATCAGGACCATCGCTTCATGTCCATGTCCCGTGCCGGGCCGCTCTGACAATCTATCCATGGACCAAGATTGTCAAGCAAGGGCCATCATTTCGGGTGTCTTGGGTGATTTCGCGGGTGGCCTGGCGAGCCTTACAGCTCCAGGTACTTACTCTCACCTCAGCTCACCAGCCAAGAACACGAGTTTGAACGCCAGTCACCATGGATGGGTGGCTAGGCATGCCGCCACACCCCACGACTTGTTGGTCTGGCGCAACTTTCACTCAGCCATGCTGCACCCATCCGAGCGGTTGTTGAGAAAGCTCCCCGTGGGCGCTGAATGCGGGGAGCAAATCCCCAATTTGCTCACTCACCCTTCCCGCTCGGCAAACAAGGTTGCATGAGGTCATGCCCTGGGCAACCTCTCCACACAACCCCATATTCTCGCTCACCCCTGCCTATCCAGCATCCCGGGCGGACCTGGGGTCAGGGAGAACGTGGGGGTCTGCGTCGTGGCGGCGTGTCCTGCCTGTGATGGGCGTCAAGGTCCTGTGCAGCCTGGCTGGCCCCGGGGAAGCATCCCGCTGTGGGATCCTGGCTGTACCAAGATAAGGGAATCTCGAGGGTTGTCACCCCTTCTGCACTTCTGCAGTCGTCCCGGCCGCCCAACCTGGCACTTCCGCCCCGGGTCTCCGCCATCCGTTCCCTTTCAGAAGACCGCTGAAGCTGCCGTGGCGTTTTTGCCAATTCCACCGCCGCCTCCATCCCACACTGGTGGGGGAGGGAGTCTTTGGCCAGGCCTTGGTGCCAGAGTTCGACAATTCCAGCAGACGCTGCTGCCGTGGCTGGACCGGGTAGCCGCAGGTCGACGCGTACCCATGCGGAAAAGGCTCTCTCTGCCTCGCCTCGTCCTCGACACCCTTGGCATCGTGGCCTCGGTCCCGGGGCGCGCAGGCGAGGCGAACGTACATCTGCAGGTCTCGCTTCGCATCACCGTGGCGAGCGGACGCCTTCCGGCCGGGACAAGAAATACTTCTTGATGACTGATTGCCCGATGACTGAGTGTGCCGCCCTTGGCGAGGACATCTTACACATCGTTGCGACCGAGGGGGGAGGACTCGTGGCTGCAAGCCTCTTTGCGACGCTGGTATCGGCCGGCTCCTGCACCTCATCTCAGGCTTCCACATCCGAGCGCCCCCTTCACACCATCTCGTCTGCGTTGACATCGAATCTTGCATGCAAACAGCCATCACGACGCTGTCAACTCCATTTCATTTGCCGGACCAATGTGGCGGTGAGGCCTAGGTTGACGCAAGGAGAACACCACCTCACACACCTGCGAGTGACTGGCAGAAGTCGTTGGTGACACTTTCCGAGAGACCGCGCCCGTCTTGATCACGACGCCAGCACACCGTTTTGACCTGGGTGATAGACATGTGAGGACGAATAGACAGTCATTGCTGGCAGTTGTCTCACCACTTCTGATACAACTGGTGAACCAGCTGGCGCGCGCTGGTGGTCGACCTAAGCCACGACCCTCCAGTCTCGTACTCTCGCGTTTGACCGCCTGCCGATCCTACCAACGGCTAGGATTCGATGCAGCGACGCGTCGACAGCGGGTTCACGGCCTGCACTCTCCTGCAGTAAGAAGCAGATGAGGCAACTGAATCATGGACTATGGACTCGTAAATGCTGCTTGCCGTCGGGAGCAGTGTAGTAGGAAGCAGGGCAGGGCAGACGTTCCCCTCTGTTTGGTCGATGCCGGGGCTGCATGTCACTAGTAGAGCCGGGAAAGCAACTCGGAGCCCGGACTCGGCCTTGAAAGACAACACACAGCCAGCCCAAGTGCGACGTCAGTATGCTTCTGCCAACGCCTCATTCTTTTGGAGGGGTGGCTTGAGAATCGTGTGTCCTGGCCGGCGGAGTCTAGACAACTGCCACTAATGCCAAGGCAAAATGCCGAATAGTCACCTCGGTGGCATGAGGCCATCCATCTGGCATGATGCCTGGTCCGAAAGCGCAGTTTGGTCGGGTCGGCGATGCGGCTCACATGCAGTCTCACATGGCGGTCGGGATCACCGTCATGACCGAGGCGGCGGGCTCGTCATGATATCACAGACCACAAGCCAAAAAGGACGGCCGAGGAAGTCAAACCCGAGACGATA